ATCCATGCAGCCCTGAACAGCCTGCCAAAACTGGGTAAGCGGCCCCCCGCCTGAACTAACTGCCTGCCCCTGCTCTAACAGTTTATGGTCACTACTCCTTGTCCTACCCTGGGATGCCCTGGCAAAAAGTGTTTCCTCCCAGCTCCCAGTATTCACCCCTCACATACTTATATAGATGGCCACCAAGTCCCCCTTCAGTTTTCTCTTCCCCAGGCTGAACAGTCCCAGATCCCTTAGTCTTTCCTCATAAGATTTGTCCTCCAGGGCCTTAATCATTCTTGTGGCCCTTCTCTGGACCCTTTCAAGTTTCTCCATGTCTTTTTTGAAGTGCAATACCCAAAACTGAACAAACAGGCATTTGTCCAGTTAAGAATAAACTGGGTTCTAATGTAATAGAATCTCATTAAATAAGTATTAAACACATTATTTTTGCAAATTACTAAGGAAATAGGGAAAATACTTTTTTTCTTTTGTTCATAAATAAAGTGATTCATAATGGACTATAGCAGGGCTGCCCAACTGATGGCCTGTGTGCCATGAGGCCCACAAGGGGTTCCGACGCAACCCGAGGGCTCCCTCCTGGCCACCATATCTTCCGCTGCCATGGCAGCCAGGGGGTCTGGGTTCCCCCCTGTCTTCCAGCTTCTACTTCCTGCTGCACTCCAGGGGGCAGGGAGGCCCCATGGGAAACGTGGGGTCCGTGTTGCCCATGTTCTGTTCCTGGCTGTGAACGTGGCTAGGAGCAGGGCCAGGTTTCACATTTTACTGAATTCTTCATAATATCATGAATTAAACAGAAATAAGATATATGTTTCAGTCACTTTACTCCTGCTCCACAGTCTAACACAGAAGACTGGCTTAGGATAATCAATGGGCACCAAACAGATAAACACAAAGATCTTAATTTTCATACAATAGTTCCCAATAAAAACATGAAAATACACATACTTAGAAGCATGTCTGAAGATTTTTAAAGATTCCTTGAAGTTTAGAGAGCTTCAAAAAGGTTTCCCGACTGCCAAGCTTAAGACATTATCAGACAACTTACTAACACACTGGTTCTCAAACCTTCTGAACTCAAGGCAACCCTCACTGGACTTGAGGCACCCCTGAGTAACTTTTGTGAATTGAGTGGCAACCAATTTCAGAAGCTTCTATATTTCTATCCATCCATCTATCCACCCAC